TTCAAATCTAAAAAATTATTATCCAAGACACAATGCCAAATTTACAAGTAGAAGAAAGACAAACTATGACCGTCTCTCATTATGATGGAAAATCAATTTATGAGTGGAACATAGATGGATATAGTGAATATAAAATAATGAATTTAGTTCAAGAAATAACTATGGTAATAGCAGCCTATCGGATAGAAAACAATAATGATTATTATACTTTTGATATGATAACACTAAAATTTATAGGAAGTCTTAAAGGTTGGTAGAAAAATATTCTCACTAAAAAAGAAAAGCATAGGTAAAAAATTCACATTCAAATCAATTTTATAAATAGTTATAGTTATAAGTTTTAGGTATTAGATAAGTTGTAATTGACAAATATGATTTAGATAAGTTGATAAAAAAATTTCAAGTAATATTCACATGAAAAAGATAAGAGACGGAATAACTTGATAATATTGTTATTTAATTTTTTTAGTGTCATTTGACAAATGTGATTTAAATGAATTGATGAAATATTTTTGGAATCTAATTTCAAGAAATATCTATGACATTCATGAAGCGTATGTCGCAGCATATGATGCAATATCAGAAAAATCTCACTAAAGCCTAATAATTTGGATACAAACCGGTTCAATACTTATTTTGAACTCCAAATAACCCTAATACACAATCTTAAGCCAAATTTAAACTATAATTAAGAGTCTAAATAATTGATTGTCATCCATAAACCTCAATCAACATAAATTTTCAAATACATACGTTTTGTCAATTAAATCCTTAGTACTCATATTTTCTCATTTAAAAATAATTCCTTAAATTAAATTCTCCCAACTATCCACAACTTAATTAAATCCCTAAATAAAATTTAAGATGTTACATGAACCAGTTGCCCAAAGAAGCATATACTTTTGCTTGTCTAAATCATGTGAGAACCAAGTTTCGCCATCATGCAAAAATGACCTCCTTCAAGTGAGAAGTAGATTTTGACATGCATTAAATGAATTTTGCCGATAAAATGCTTTTTCACACAAGGTCCTTCCTACACACAATACAGCAGTTCCCAATGGCTAGTTTAAGGTCTCTAACAATCATATCTTTCTCACACTATAGATAGAACCTCCTTTAAGTTGGTGGATAATAAATTTAGTGTGCATCAATTGTTATCTACCTATTCACATCCATTATTTGCTAAAAGCTCTTAATTTTGGTTTATAAACTTTCAATTATATTCTATATACTCTTTTGAGAGTTTTTAAAGCTTATTTTACTCAATCTTTATTGAGTAAACTTAAAGGTTTTCCTTAAGTGGGCATCTATCTTGTAAAATTTCATAAGGGATTTGTAAAAATTCAAGACTATAAGTCATGGTTTACACTAAGGTTCCAAGCATTCAATTAAACTTATGGATTTTAGTAAAAACTCTCAGGTATGATTTTGAAAATTAGACTAAGGCTAAGTAGTTGAGCTAAACTAGTATAAATTCTTGTGTCTTGCTTTTCTCTCTAAATTTTATTTGCATTAAACTCTTTTCATCTATTTTTTATTGAAATATAAAATTAAAAAAAAATCAAAAACTTTAGTAGCAGTTCGTAATGCCCACCAAAATTTCAAATCTAGTACTGGCTAAAGAAAAAGTGAACGGACCTATGTATAGGTCTTCTCCCTTTCATTCATGTACCAAGGACCCTGGAAGGCTTGTGGTAGTTCTTATCAATGGTTACTCACATGTGCAGTAAATTACCAAGTGTATTATATGATTAGTTAACTTGAGATACTCAAGAATGTAATAACCTATGTCCTTATTTGGTATGTGGCATTGAAAGGTTGGGAATGGGAATGAGATAGCCCACTTATACAATGTTTGATACAATGGATTGGTTGTTACTTGGGATTGATGAAACCTATGTAGGTGAGATTGGAGAAACCAAAAGGGGAGGTAGTATTGAAAATTTAATCCCTGGATTAAAACTCTCTAAACTAAAATGCCCTTCCTTGTCATCAAGTCTTCAACCAGAACATGCCCCTATCTCCTCCCTCTTTGGACACCTACTCCTCTCTCTTCGATTTGGTGCATGGTGGGTGGACGCTCATCAAAGGTGGCAAGAAATGGCATCCTCTGATTTGGATGCTCAAATGCACAATAGGATGATGTTCAACAACAAGCAACAACATTCTCTAATCTAGACGCTGGGAAGCATGACGAGCAACAACGCTCTGATCTATTTTCTCCATCGATGCCTTCTCCATGTAGAATTAAACCACTTTATTTTCTTACTATAAGGAGTCAGCAAATTCCTTTGACATCATCATTTGTCTTCTCCATTGCAAATCTGAAAGTAGCTAAGGGATGAGGGATAGTTTTTTCCCCCCACAAGAGGCTCTATCACATATTTAAAACTAGCTAAGGGATGAAGGAGAGTTCCCCCCTAATAAGAGGCTCCATCACAGATTCAAAGCTAAGGGAGGAAGGAGAGTTTTTTTATCCAGGAGAGGCTGATTTTTTTTTCAACAAGGGTATTATAGTCTTTTAATCATAATTATATATAAAAATTATTTAAGCAATCCCACTTTATACCAAGCATGATTTTTAAAACTTATTTTCACTCCCAATCCTAATCCCAATTCCATTCCCATCCCATTCTCAATCGTTTAAAATCCATCCTTTGAACTAAACAAGACCTATACTTGTATGATTCTCTTTTGTTGTTACGGTTGTGGATTTGATGGTTACCCACATGTATCTTTCTATCATATGTAATTTTATTTGAAGTATTGTCGAATACTAAATATAAATACTTCTCGTAACAAAAATTCAAATATTAATTCATCATATTATGAGGAATTAGTCCCTTCCACTAGATCAAACTTCTATAAACAGCAAAAGCCTCCTTTATTGTGGTATGTTTTTGTTAAAGGAAGTTTGATGTGGGCCTCAATCTTGTGTTTGTTTTCTAAAAAGTCTATGTTTGCTATGAAACATTTTGATTTTCATACACGAATTAAGGTGCATTATTATCCTTAAAAATTTTTTTGGGTGTAATGGTCAACTTAAATCTGAGGGTTGTGTAATATTATTTCTTTAGTATTAACAAGTGTTCCATGATGCTGCTCCATTAAACCTTTGTTATTTTGACTGTTTATTGATTGAGAAAAAATACAAATAAGATCCTAGAAAATGACAGACATTTTTTACAAGAAAATTATTACTAATTAAGCCCCCAAAACTACGAATAAATCTCAAGGGAACTAATTTTATTCTTTACTCTTACAAAAAATTAAAACATCATTCTGACCAATTACTTTGACTAAAATTTAAATTTTTTTAATATTTTATCAAAATATTGATACTTTAATATTTATTAACTTAAATACCAGTTTTAGTTACTTATCTTCATATAAGTCCATTTTTTAAATTTATAATTCGTCCATAAAAATACAACTTAACTATTGTATGTGTGATTTAAAAAAATTTAGAGGTCCTCCTTTAAAAATTTATACCCAACTAATATATTCGAGATTTATAATTGAATATATATTTTTATAGTATTATATTATAGTTTGTCAAACTAAAATTATTTTAATTACTAGATTCAGTAGTTTATTGATGTGTACGAATTTTTGGCCTTTGTACTTTTAGTCGAGAATTATATCATATATGATAGAATATAACTAAATATAAATTTTGATAGAAGTAGGCAAAGTCAAATATTATGCTAGAAAATAATAATCAATACTATAAGATAATGTTACAAATTCATGTAATATTTAGCACGGAAGAATACTTTAATTATATTTGTTTCCATCCTTCTAGCACGGAAGCATCTTGTCTAGGTGGTTGGAGCGTCTTTGGTTGCCTCCGTTTCAATCAAGTGTGATGAGAATTTGATTTCCGGATTTCATTTACATATTATATATTTAAGCCTTATTAATATTCATTATTTCTCCAACGTCTTTTCTAAGGCAATTTTTTTTCTAACATTTAAATCCTATAAAATTAAAATAAAATTGCATATATACCACCAAACTAAATAGGGCTAAAGAGCAATTTTATCTTTAAATTATAGGTTTAGGAATGTTTGGATTCTAAACTATTTTTAGTATAATATTTTCTTTAAATTTTTTAAAAACAGTACAATTTTGTTCTTACCAACCAGAAAATTATAAAAAATAATTTAAAAAATTACATAAGTTAACCAAAAAATTATAAAAAAGAGCATAAAAATTACAAATAAGGATCAAAAAATGATAGAAAATGATCAAATTTAAAGTCATGTTCTGTAATTTTTTAGTTAATTAATAGTTAAAGATAACATTTATTAATAGTAGGGGCTATATTGTATTATTTTAAAAAATTAAAAGAAATCATGATATCAAAAATTAGTTTTGGGCTTTGGACACTCTTGAATTTATAATTTAGATGTCAGTTTAGAATTTAATTCAATTATATATGTGAAATTGAAAAGAAATTAAAAAAAACTTAAAAAGAAAAACATCACATGAATCCGAGAGAACTCCTTAAAGAATATGAAAAGATTAGATTAATTATCAAAAAGAAGATAGATTAGATAGAATTATATCATATAAAATAATAGATAGAGGCTAAGAGGAGTCTCATTGTCCATATTTTATGAATAAATGTGACTCCCGATATAAAAACATAATATTTTTTATACTCATTGATGATATTAATTCTTCTTCAAAATAATTATGTTTAACCAGAGACAGAGAGAGAAAGAGGGAGATTAGCGTAACAAAGGATGAAAAGTTAAAAAATTTACTTACCGACAAATCATTGGATGTATAATTAAATTTCTGGTTTGACGGAGGAGCACATGTAGGATCCGAGAAGTGTTCTCACCAACCAAACACCAAACCAAAGTAATTCATTCAATCGGTTAGACCATCCAAAGATTTTACAGAAACAACACACTTGCCTTCTTAGACTTAGATAAACCCATTTGATCATCAATCTCGCTCCTAGCTTCTCTATATATAATAATCATATTCTTCATCTTCTTCACAGTTCCTCATCAACAACGAGGAACAACATGGCCTCATCAAATGCAGAAAAAACAGAGCTCAATAGCACTGCGAATAATGTGATGTCGAGGAGGACGAAGCAGGCAGAGAGGGATTGGGTGGTTTTGTGTTTGAGGGTGCTTGCAGTGTTGGCCACAGCTTCTGCAACGATTGTGATGGCACTCAATAAACAGACCAAAACCTTTGTGGTTGCCACCATTGGTAACAATCCCATCAAAGTTTCTCTAACTGCCAAGTTCCACCATACTCCTGCTTTTGTGTAAGTTCTCTATCATTCTCAATGTTCACTATTCATGATAAATGAAGTGACTTCTAGGGTGGGTTATACACTTTCACACACGTATACAAACTCTTCTTCACATTATGCATGATTCGTTGTGATTTCTAATAGGTTATATGTATGTATGTATGTGTTATGTTGATCTTATGAATAGTATATGACTTCCAGTAGCTTTTAAATATATAGTACAGTGATGATGATTGATATTGATGAATGATATTGAAATTGATGATGACGTACACAATTTAATTTCTATCTATTTGATGATCTGTAAATGGTATAACTTAATAACAATTTTATATTCTCTTCGTTTAAAAATATAAGACATTGTTTGAAGAGTTGAATGTTAAAAAATGTAAGGCATTTTTAGTCTTTCGAGGTGTAATCATTGTCTTTTTTTCAAATGTGCTTATATTGATAATGACTTTATATTTATTGTAGGGTATTTAATAGAGATAAATATAAAAAAATAGGATTAGTTAAAAAATAGGTAACTATTTTATTGGGGATGAGATTCAATTAAAAATACTTTATATTTTTAAACGGAGGGAGTATTTTGTATTGATATGAATAATCTTTAATTGGACCATACATTTTAGAGAGAAAGCTGAACATTAAAGTGAAGATAATCATGAGAAGTGGATTCTTTTACATTTATATATGTTGGGGACAGGTTCTTTGTGATAGCTAATGGAAATGCTTGTCTGCATAATCTGGTGATGATGGCAATGGATTTATTTGGACCCCAATTTGATTACAAAGGACTCAGACTTGCACTAATTGCAATACTTGACATGGTACATATTTTTGCCTAATTATAAATTTTTCATTTGTTATTAGTTTTGATATAGTGCATAACTTATGAATAATGGAACTTGATAAAAAATTATGCATACTTTTTCTCAAATTTTATTGAAATTATGTTACTTCTTTTTTATGTTTTTTAAAAATATATATGCAAACTTCCGTTGAAAATAGATGAGATTCTTGCAAAAAATTAGAAAAATTCAGTGGAACTCTGCACAATTTACTTTTGTGCGCGTTTTGAAAAGAGAATTATAAATTTATATAATTTCAAAAAATTAGGAAAAAGTCCATGAAATTCACTTTTTCAATCTGGAAAAAAAATTATGTGAATTTGAAAATGAAGAAAATGTATTACAATTTTTTTAAAAATATTTTTAGACTAATTGATATTTTAGTACAAAAAATACAACTTGTTTGAATTTAAAACAAAATCTTTTTATTTTAAAAGGAATTCTTAATCAATATTTATTTGGTTTAATATGAAATTTAAATCACGAGTCCAGGGATAATTTAAATTCTAAACTTGTATGTGGTACGTATATTTTAAACTTTGAATAATTAGATTTGGGACAATCTCGCCTCTATTGTTAAAATGGACTAAACATTGTTCCTTTTGAATGGTGGGCTCATATATTCTAACATCTCCCTCCTCTTTCTCCTAGAGCTGTTAATTCAAGCGGGTTAGGCTTAAAGTATTCTATCCTCCTAAAAAAACCTATATAACCAAGCTTGAACCTAACTTTTTTCAGTTGGGTTTGGGTTGGCTCCTCAAGCTTGGTCAAAATTACCAACTCTATATATATATAGAGCTGGAAATTTTAAAAGACGGGTTTATTTGAGTCAGGCTCAATTCGGTCTAGGCTTATTTGGATTGGGTTTAAGTATCCAACCCTCTTAAAAAAGTCCATATAACTAAACTTAATTCTAACTTTTTTCGGATGAGTTCGAGCTGGCCTGTCAAATTTGGCTAGAATTACCAACTTTATTTTCTCCCACTCTCTGCCCTCCCTCTCTCAACATTTCTCTTCTCCCCTGATTTGTTGTTGGCTCCTTTATATTTCCAATACATGAACTATATAACATTCAAGAGTAAGACAAATATAGCATCATTGAAGTGCTACTCACTTTAGCCTTCACTAAACAAGTCAGACCAATCCACTATTCTACTACCATCTGTATGGCCCATATATCATGACATCTCCCTCCCTTTTTCCCCCTCTCCACCCCCCTCTCTCAACATCTCTCTTCCCTTTATCTGTGGGAGTATATTGGCCTCACCATTCAAAAGTGACCGATCTTTATCCATTTATTAGTGGGGTGGGATTGTTTCAAATTTAATTATTTAGGATTTAAAATATACTGCATATGAGATTAGGGTTCAAGTCATCTTTGAACTTATAGTTTAATGTTCAAATTACATATTAACCCTATTCATTTCAATACAATTTATTCCAACAATATTTCATGTCTCTAAACCAAATCATAGTGAAAATATGCTTTATTAGATCCAAATATCTAACATATCCAAATAATTATTTATCAAGTCATCATTAATATTTGAAAATTTCAAGATTCCTATCGCATTAAATATATATATCATCCGTAGAGAGTCATATTATTCATAAATCAATAACATTACAACTCATTTTATTATGCACACACAATACATGATCTATGCCTAGAATATCCATAAACAAAACATTAGTGATCAGTATCAACACCCTAAAAAGTATAATTAATTTTAGGTTAAATAATAAATTCACCCTTACACTATAGATCTAGAAGCGTTTCATGTTTAGTGTAATATTCCTTTTCAACTTTTGAAATGATGCAATATTGCCTCTATAGTTAACAAATGTTAACTTTAACTGTTAATTAACTAAAAATTTAATAACTTTTTTTAATTTTTTTTGTCATTGTCTGTAATTTTAATTTTGGTCCTTTTCTTTAATTTTTTAGTTCTTTTTTATAATTTTTAAAATTTTTTAATAAATTAACAGTCAAAGTTAACTTTTGTCAATGGTAACAGCGACATTCTACCATTTTTAAAAGTTAAAAGGGAATATTGTATCAAAAATGAATATAAGGTCTCCAACACTCTTGAACCTAGTTTGAGTGTGAAATTGTCTCTTAATCCATTAATTTATCATAAAAAATTACATGCATTTTGCAACACAGATGGTTATGGCTCTGGCAGCTGCAGGAGATGGAGCAGCGACGTTCATATCAGAGTTAGGGAAGAATGGTAACTCTCATGCAAGATGGGACAAAATCTGTGACAAATTTGAAGCTTATTGCAACCGCGGAGGCGCCGCCCTTGCCACCTCCTTCGTGGGCATCATTCTCCTCCTCCTTCTCACCGGGAAGTCCATCATCAAACTGCTCAACCCAAATCGCATCAACAATATTGTTCCATGATTATTACTAAAAATTAAGACATTATATTGTTATGTGCCTTTTATGTTGAGCTTGTTTAATGTGTGATTGGCAATGCTTGATCCCTGTAATTAGTTATTACACATGAAGCACAAAATAAATGCGTGTGTACATTGCTATGGCTCATTTATTTATGTTTATTTTATTTAAAAAATTACTTATTTTTTGACAAAAAATATATTTTGTGAATTTTATGATATTTGTTTAAATATTTTAAAATAATAAGAGTTTGAAAATTTTTTATTATTATTTTGATAAGATACTCTAAGTAGCTTTTGAAAACAATTGGTAGATGAAAGAGAATATTTTAAAAAAGTGGTTGCATTCAAAAACATTATAAAATTTAAAAATAATTAATTGATAATTATTTTTTATCATTATAAGTAAATATAAAAGTAATATTTCCTTTTAAGTCATCATTAGACCTTGTGTAATTGACCCTAATTTACGTAGCTATTCCTTTCTTCCTCCTCCTCCTCCTACTCATCCTCCCTTTTTTATAATTTTTTTTAAAATTTAAAGGAATGAATAATTTGGTTGATAATTTTTTTATTTAATAATTACATTTTTAAGGTAAATCAATCATTAGATGAGTTCATATTTAAAATATTTAAATTGCATAAACCATTTTTTGAACTTTGGGGATATTATATATAAGTAACTATTGACATTTATAACTTTGAGAACGAAGCCTTCTTAAAATTTTTGGTTTGGCTGGACAGTTCTTTATCATTTGTTGTATTTTAAAATTTTCTTGAAGTATGCTAGCTAGTGTCAATCACTAGTGTAAAAATAAATGCTTTTTACACTAAATAAAAAAATCAGTGTAAAAAAGTGACGGATAACATCTTTGTAAATAAGTTTCATGATTAATGAACTTTCTATTCCATAAGCTTTTGGCAATTTTGTAAACAACTATTGTGATTTGTTGACATTTTTACATTGGTTCTTTAAGCAACCAATGTAACAGACCAAATATTTATTTATTTATTATTTAAGTAACATGGAGATGAAATTCCTTGTTAGTTAGAATTAATTAATTAATTAATTGAGTAAAGACAAATTACTCGAACAAGATTTAAAGATACAATTTTCTGAAAATGATAAAAATTATAAAGTTATATGAAATTAAATAAAAAACATTTAAAATAATGTTTCAATTTAACATATTTTTTAAAAATTAAAAATTTTAAATTGAAGAAAAATGTATTTGTTCAGCAGTCTTTTAGATATCTTTTTAGAAAAAAATTAAAGTAATTAAAATATAACTACATAAAATTTTATATATATATATATATATATATAGGAAACACAACTAACAGACCGCATGGGCTAAGCCCATCATGGATTAGGTTATTAATTGATAAACGTATAAGTGGCATTGGTGCATGTGTGTGGATGGTGAGAGTTCATTTTTCTCGTCGAAGTGGCACTCAGTGAGACCATGAAAGAGAGGCATCCGTTCATGTTCTGACGGCCTTGACCGTTAAGTAATAGAGCGAGACAGATCGAGATTGATAGCGAGGGCTGTATGTGGGAGTTTCATCTGAGCGCTGTTGGATTCCAAAAAAAAAAAAAATTTTGATTGTTTTTTAAGCTTCTAAAAATTAGAATAATGTTTGAGTTAGTGGCATTGAGCATGTTCTGACATGTTTAGTTTTATCGTGAAAGGAGGTAATGATGGTTTATTCTTTCATCTATTGGAAAGCTGTTGATTTTTATCATTATATATCAACGTATGAATTGTACTGGGAATGGTTGTGTCCATTGAGGGCTTGTAACATGCTTGTGTATTTTCTTGAAATATATATATATATATATAATATTTTGATTTTTTTCAAGCATGCTACTATTTTGAATTGAAATTTGATTACAAATGGTTGTATGTGATTACTTGAATCATTTCAAGCATGTGTGTGTTTTGAATACTTGTAGGTGTGATGCATTTATAAGGAATATAAGGATGGATATTGTAATTTACAGTGAATATGATAGGAGATTGTGATTTAATTAGTGTCACATGGTGCACCACCGCTTGATGCATAGTTGATGAACCTTTGTCAAGACCCATTTCCTTGGTTTGAGATTGTAGAACATTAGCATCTCCTTTTAAAGAGGGGAGTTTAATTCTAAGGGTAATGCACCTTTAGCAAAGTGTATCCTCAATCTAAACTCCAGTCAACGATATAAGGTGGATAGGACTTGCTACAAGGATGGGTTAGGGCTTGCATTACTTGTTTGATTGTTTAAAATAAATAAACTTTATTATTTTTTGTGAAAACTACATTCCAATGGTGGTGAAATTAGTTTGCAAAACCAAATTGCGAAAATACTTATGTGGGTTGTGAAATGAGTTTGTACTAGTTGTTAGTGTAGGTTAGGATATCCATTTATTACTAAGATGTCAGATTTCATATGTTATCTCTTACAATTTTCATATAGCGGTCTTGGTAGAGTATAAGGGAAGGCATTAGAGAGTTGAGCGAAAGCTCAATTATCTTATATTACACATGTTCAATTTACTCTGTTTCTTAGAATGGCTTAAGATTACGTATTTAATTTATTATTTTATTCGTTTTGGAATATTTTAATAAATATGGTATTTTGAGCCTTCTAAAATTATTTTAAAAGAGTTTTATGGACTTATGGGATAAGTCAAATTGCTTTTATTAAAGCGTTTTTCTATCTATTTGATTTAGCTGTTTTATTGAGATTTCTTTATTTATAAACTTGGCGAGCTTTGTTTAAACTAAGGTATTTCTTATTTGGCAAATTGAAGGTCTTGCAACTGATGTTAAGAAAATTTCTATACCAATTAATTTAATAACTTGTTTTGGCCTAAACTGCTTGACCAAATGAGATTTGTAACATTCTAAATTTCTAAACTTATTTCTCACAAATTAATAAGTTATTAAACCAATTGAATAATATTGCACATTTATCATGGTATAAAAATGACTATCATGGTAATTAAAGAATAAAATTCCTCTTTCAAAAGTCTACCATGGTGAAAAAGAATTCACCATATAAATAAATTATGTTGTAATAATCTACCATGGTAGAAAGAATTTAACATAATATATAAACTTTATTATGATAATTGAAATGATATTAATATCGAATATAACTATTAGAATTCCATTTTTAAAACCATTGTTTAAAAACTAATATTTATTTCAAAACCACAACTAACATGGAAGCATGTTATCCCAGGTGGCATAATCTCAAACATGTACCAACAAAACTTATGACATATTAATGTGACCCAACTATACATCCCAAATGATATACAATAAATTCTGTTAAATCATAATAATTACAAACAATAATCTACTTGATGATACCCAAAAATGGGGTTCAAACCATATTCACAATAGTTCAACACTTGACCTCATCTAAAAATTGGTCTAGGATGTACACTTATCCATGACATAATCACCTTGGTCAACATACATTAATACATCTTTACTGACTACTCAATAATTTCAAGCAAATTTGGCTATATCATTAATATTTCAAAAAGCTGTTAGGACCATAAGGGACAAACATAATCCTCATGATCAAGCATACTAGTCAAATCTAAGGCCAAAAGGAAGCAACATAATCCTCTTGAAAAATAAACACGCAATTTGATCATCAATAGACTCTATATGCTCATCAAAATAACAGTTATCCTAGGTAGCAAGATATACATTGCATATTCAAATTAAAGAAGCTATACTAATAGATGGTGTCTCATACACCAAATTACACCTTTGGTGCTCCTTCAGTTACACTTGCTCCTATAAAAAATATTAACTATAGGGAATGGGACATGAACATCCTAGTAGTCAATGCTAAATGTTATAATGTATGCAAAGCAATTAATCATGTGATTACTAAGTAGGTATACAAAATCCCTACTGAGAAAGTTCAATATGACCTAATTGGTCATGTACTATAAATTTGGATAAAACCATATTTATAGTTCAATCCAGACAAATTATATCTCCAGACAAAATTATTCCATTCATATCAACATATATTTACTTGCAGATTTAATAACCTGCTTGGCAATTAATTTTCCAGACGACAAATATACATCTTTGAAATGTAATGTTTTTTAAACAATATATCATTTCATCAAATTACGCATAATCAATCACAGAGTACCCACTGCAACAAGTTAATAGTGGTTATCTTTGCTCCAAGCAACCAAAGTCCTCTAAACAAGTGATTCCTCATTACTCTCTTTGTCAATACTATCTAATAAATTATTTCATAATACTAAATATTAATTTTAAATTGAAATCATTAAAATAACTATAATTTAAAAGGTTAAAAATTTTAGGCCTAACCCACAATTAGTACTAAATAAAGGTTAGTACTCATTTTAACAATTCCATAATTTTTTATAAAATTCTCTTACACTTATAAACTCTAATAAATGCTCCAATTGCTCCTAATATTAATATTTCATCATCACATATTCAAAACATTCATCCAAAAATCAAAAATTGTTCTCAAGCATTAAATCATTGTTCTAACACCTTATGTTCAAATAAAAAACTAGGCACTTGAAAACATTCCAATAATTTGACTTAATCCTTAGATTTAACCTCAAAGGCTTAGGGTTTTACCCAAAATTCTCAAACCAAATTTTAACATCAAATAAATGTTCCATAGCCATTACTACACTCCCAAGAACCTCAATAAACATAATAAATCATCATGGGTTTAGATTATCTATCCTATAGGAAAATCTTAATATGAAAATCATCCTAAATTACAAAGACAACTAGGTAGAATGGTAGATTAGAGGATTAAGAACTCACTCCAAGTGGTTGCACAACCTGAAAACAACATTAGGTTGCCAAAAAATCACGCCCTAGTAAAGCTTCAATTGAGCTCCTCTCTGATCTTCTCTCCTTTCTCGCATTTCTGTTCAAAAACGCAACAAGGGATGCCTTATAAGAATCACATCTGCGTGCATGTAATCAAACGCCTAAACATATGGTTAACCCTGAATAACTTCAAGTAAAAATTTGTTCCCTAATTTAAACCTCAAACAATATAAATCTCTAAATTTTAAATCCTCCATAATCGCCTTTTAGACAATTTATTTATCATCTAAAAATTAAGATATT